TTTAATGAATGATTTATAGTATTGCCACAGGGTTGTACAACCATTATCACAAACAATTTCTGAACATTTTTATCACCTGCATTGGGAATCCTATGCCCATTTGTACTCACTTCCTGCACCCCACCCCAGACCTGAGCAACTGCTAATCTACTTTCTATATAGATCTGCCTATCTAAACATTCCATGTAGATTAAATCATCTAATATGTGATATTCGGTGTACATGTAATATTTTAAGGGTAGAAACCAAGACCTATTCATAGAAGTAGGAGTTAATGAGAAGGACATGTGATATAATAAAAGAGAATATGTTTGGAGTCAGACAGGTCTGAGTTAAAAATAACAATTAAGTTTTTTACTAGTTGTGTAACTTTGGGTAAGTCACTTGATCCCTCTGTTTATTGATCTATAAAATGTGGATAACAATATCCTTCTTAAAAGATTGTTGTAAGGGTAAGAAAAAGGATATGGAAAGTTCTTGAAGAAGAGTTTGCTCAATAAACAGAAGTTGTTATTTGTATTTGTCTGTACACCCACAGCACATGGCACAGTAGACCATAAGGTAGCTTCCTTTTGTTTCTCAGCCACTGTTCTTCCTCAGAAGAAAATTAATCTAGTCAATATAGGGAAACAGTGAAGCCAATAAACAAATCTATGATCTGAGATCAGAAGGAAGGTAGTTAGCCTTCTGAAGACACTTAGAAAAATCAGCTCATCCATCTCAACTTCTGGCTTTCATTTGCATATACTTATCATGTAGTAATCATTTCTGCTTTCCTTATGAGGGGACAATAGAAGCCTGAATCACACCTGAAATTCTCCTTAAGACAGAGGAGCAATACCATCTGAATCTTGAGGAGAAAGAAGTATAGAATCCTTTCACAAAACACATATTAATCCATGAGAAGGAAAATCCAATCATCATGACAATTAAATTATATCTAGAAATATCCAAATAAATTAGAAAACTTCACCATCGAAAAATCAGGGTCCTTCATAGAAAAGAAAGGTATTCGAATATAATTCAATTCCAAAACATAAACTGGAACAAAAGAGACAAAAGTCATAGTAATAAGTTTTTGAGGGGGTTTAAGTTCTAAAATCCTTCCTGTCATTCCTTACAGCTGTCTCCACAAGGTAAGCACAGAGGTCATCCTATCTCATACCTCACTTTTGCTGAGATCCTTGTATCTTTAAGGCAACAAAAACCCATTATTTTGGTGAATTGAGCCCCATGATAATGCATGTAGAATGGATTAAATATACTTTCCATTTCTCCATAATTCTGCTCCTTTGACTTAGATTTCACATCAAACTAACCTTTATAATAATAAGTAGCAAGTCTGATTTATATACCTATCTAAGGCAAATAGAGATCTTAAAATGTCTCAAACTAATAGAGGATATAAATAATTTAATTAAGAGTCAGAAAGAAAGAAAGTGAGTAGTATGCCTTCAAATAAAAAGGTATACAAATAACACAGTCCCTACAGAAGATAAACATTACTGAATGCTTAAAGAAGAAAACATCTCATTTACAAAGGACAACAGTATAAGTTATAGGAGTTGTCTGTATGAATTAATTTAAAAAATAATAATCCTACAAATCATGGCAATAATTAAGATTTTTTTTCAGAAGAGATAATGTAACAATTGACTGTTATACTAACTTGAATTAATAAATTCCAGCCCATTAAGCAGGCTGAAGAAATTTTCAAACATAGCCATGATGTAGGATCCATTATTAGGACAGAAATAAGCTGAGCATTTCCATGTGAAATTGCTCTTGCTCTTTAATTTACCCTTTCCCATACTTTTCAAAAACTTTTCTAATAACAAAATTTAAGTTGACCTTCTAATCCAAAGAAAGAGGGCCTCTAAGTTTTCCCATTCACTTGTTGCTTTCAAAATCAGACAGAAAAAGATAAATAGTAAATACTTATCAATTTTTAATATATATCTATTTCCTTATGCTGGTGGTCCTCTCACGTGTGTTCATTAACAAGTCATTCTAAAACCTCATGCTATCACCTCTCTTCCCTTTGTGAAAAGAAATGCTCTGTCCAGAAAGAAAAAACTTGAGACCTGGTTTCCAGTTTACCATATAACCTAGCTATCACACTCTGGCTATATATCCAAAGGAAACCAAATCAGTGTATGAAAGTGATACCTGAACTCCCATGCTATTGCAGCACTGCTCACAATAGCCAAGATACAGAACAACCGATGTGTGTCCAGCAGCAGATAAATGGGCATAGAAAATCTGTTATATGTTATTATGGAATATATAATTATGTATTGTTATATATGTGGAATATTATTCAGCCATAAAAATAATGAAATTCCATCATTTGCAGCAAAATGGATTAAACTGGAGGACGTTATGCTAAGTGAAATAAACCAGGTGCAGAAGAGGTAGAAGCTAAAAAAGTTGACCTCCAAGAAGTTGGGTACCAGGTACAAAAATAGTTACCCAACAATAATAATCCCAACCCAGCTCCAGGATTTAGCCACAAAGGAGGGGAAGTAATGTCTACACTTTTGACTTGGCTTCTGTTTGCATAAGAAACTTTCTTATGCTAAAATAGGCATTTAGTACTGAGCATCTCTGAAAATGGTCCTTCAAGTTCCGAAAAGCTTAGGAACTATGTGGGGGGAAGGGGGAGAAAACTGAAGGGACCATTCAGTATTATCTAACATACCTGGAATGAATCAACATCCAGAACCGAAACAACCAACATGAAAGTCACTGTAGAAAATGAACAGAATACAAATATCCTCTCCTGTAAAATGATGGAACTGGACAATTGTTATTCACCAAGCTTCTGAGTCCTCTCTAACATTCACAATGACCTAGGTACTTATCCCAGCATTGAGTGTCTTCCTTAACTCTCTGTTGCTGACAAAACACACAAAATCAAGCCTTAGGGCTTGGATTAGTTTTTGTGCTTTTAACATTTCCCAATAGTTTTGTTTCAAATAGGATTTTAGTGGCCATGAGTAGAGGCTTGTCTTGGGATTGCTTGCTTAAGTTCCTGCCTTCCACCAAGAGAGAAGCATGCTATGGGTGGCCCCTAGTCCTGGAGGATTGGAGTCACCAGGAGGGAGGCCTTCCTGAGGCCAGGTTGGATCAGCCAACCTTCAACTGACTTTTAGATATGTCAGCCAGAAATAGTATTCTATGCCACTATTTTGGGAGGATTGCTAAACAATATTACTGCAGTACACTTGATTAATACAGATGGTGTTTGATTAAAGAATGTGCAACATTTTCTATAGTATTACTTCTAAAACTGGACAGTACTTTTAATCCAATGGTTCCAATATTCAGGTCAACTCAGTAGATTACCTAATTAATGTAAATGTGTTTCAAGTAGTATAATGTTTAAAATTGAAGACCCAAGAGCAATTCTTGAAACACGGTATTTCTCACAGGCAAAGTTCACCATAGCATTTTTGCTTAGATTTACCTAGAGGTAAGATTTCCTGACATGGAAATCCACTCATGTCACCCGTGAAAGCCTGATGTCAGCATTTGGAGCAGAACCGTCTATCAATAAGAGCTGCATTTTTTTTTCCTCCTCAGGCAACAAGGCACAGGAAACTCCCCAGGCAGCCAGAGATAGAAGAAGAAGGTGAAAAGGGAATGAGTGGCCTTCTACTCATGGGAGTGGGAGCTAAGCCCCTCTTGAATGTTTTCCCATTGCTTTTAGGATCCATTAAGGCCCAATACTAGGTGCATCAGAAAGTATGCAGTTTTTATCAGAAAAATTAACAACAATAATAACAAAACAAAAAACTACCTCTGAACATCTACCAGTTTCAATTGAATTGGTTGAGTTTTAATAATTCATTGTCAATGACTATAATACTGCCAAACTGGTGAGCTAAATGAGAATATAATAGCAATTCCTTCTGTTTTAGGTCATTTTCTGTTGCTAAACCACATACTGAGGAACTGAACAGCCACTTCACAGAAGTACGATAGGTCAACAAATATATGAAAAAATGTTCAACATCTCCAGCAGTTAGAGAAATGCAAATTAAAACTATACTGTGATTTCATCTCACTCCAGTCAAAATGACAATTATCCAGAATCCAAGTAACAATTAATGTTGGTGAGGATGTGGGGGAAAAGTATACTCATACATTATTGGTGCAAACACTATAAAAAGCAGTATGGAGCTTTCCTCAGAAAACTTGGAACAGAACCACCATTTGACCAGTTATCCCACTCTTCGGTTTATACTCAAAGGGCTTAAAAGCAGCAAACTACAGTGACACAGCCACATCAGTGTTTATAGCAGCTCAATTCACAATAGCAAAACTATGGAACCAACATAGGGACCCTCCACCAGATGAATAGATAAAGAAAATGTAGTATATAAATGGAATATTATTCAGCGTCAAAGAAGAATGAAATTATGGCATTTGCAGGTAAATGGATGGATCTGGAGACTATAATGCTAAGTGGAATAAGGTAATCCCCAAACATGAAATGCCAAAAAACTACCTTTCCACCACATATAGATGCTATAAATGTTAAATAAGATCATGGATTTAAAGTGGTCAGCACAGTACCCAGTATATGGAATCACTCAATAAATGAAGGAATATCATAATTATTTCTCTCTGATATCAGATGCTGAATTACAGTAAGTGAAGTGGTGGGAGATAGAAGTAAGTTGGATTACACAAAGAGGAATAAAGGGAAGGGAGAAGGAATGGGAATAGGAAAGATAGTAGAATGAATCAGACATTACTTTCCTATGTGTATATATGATTACATGATGACCAATGTAATTCTACATCATTTACAAGCAGAAGAATGAAAAGTTTCTCTCTCTCTCTCTCTCTCTCTCTCTCTCTCTCTCTATATATATATATATATATATATATATACACACACACACACATTATACTGTCATGTATAACTAATAAGAACACATTTTTAAAATACCACATACTTCGTAACTTAAGAAAATTATTGTTTTTTACAGCACCAGAAGCTGGGAAGTTCAATATCAAGTTGTCAGCATTTGGCAAGAATCCTCTTGCAGCGTTATCCCACAGCAGAAGGCAAGAAGGTGAGAAGATGAGAAAATAAGACACTGATTTTGCAGCCTCAAGCTCTTTTATAATCTGAATTAGTTAATTCATGAGGGTGAAGCCCCACCTTCCAACACTGTGGCATTAGGTTTAAGTTCCTAACACATATATTTTGGAACACTTTCAAACCACAGCAACTTTTCCAAACAAACATAGCCTCCAAGTTTTTAATGGTGGCAATTATCTCTATGGTCACTACTCAAGGATGTAGGATGGTTTGGTTGGTTGGTTTATTTGTTTATTTGTTTAATAGTATGAGGAAAGAGATCCAGAAGCTTCTACTGGTGCCTATAATAGTCTGCTCTAAAGCAGTGGTTCTCAAATTTTAGTGTATATTTTAATTACCTGGTAGGAGGGCTTTAAACAGAAATTGCTCATTCAGTAGACCTAGGAAGGTTTGAGAATTGGTACTTCTAAAAATTTCACAGATAGTACTGATACCAATGTAGACTGTGCCTGAGGATTACATAGTAAAGAAATAGAAATATATTTTTAAAGGAATGTAGAGCCTCAAGGATTCAGCATTATAAATTATTGGTCACTTACAGAGAATGAAATGGAGGCAAGTGATGAATATGGTTCTGTGACAACTGGTTAATACAACCACCTTTCCACCACATATTGATGCTGTAAATGTTAAATGAGATTATGAATTTAAAGTGGTCAGCATAGTACCCAGTATATGGAATCACTCAATAAATGAAGGAATGTCATAGTTACTTCATTACTATTTTACTTTTCTCTTTATTAACTTAAAAACTCACCCAACACAGCTGACAACACTTCTATGTCTATTATTTAACCACTTTGTCACTGAGTTTGTTCTCTGTAAAATAAGGTGCAAGATAATAGATGAGCTTTAGTATTTTTTCCTAAATTTAAAAACCTCTAGTTTTACATCCATAGGAATGCTTTTCAACTGCCCTAAGTTTTACATTTACTGAGAGTATAGAAGCTATTGATGACCATGGCTCTGATATCCTAAAATCTTGTTTTTTACTTATCTAAAGTTTTCATCCTGTGGAGGAAGTAAAGAATAGATTGAACTTTCAGTAAGTTTCTACCTCTATTTATTCTTGGAAACACAGAACTGAGGTACTATAAAGAGAAAAACCCAAACAGGAAAGGTTGAGTCTTCTGTCCATTAGGATCATACTTTTCCCAACTGGGTTTTCTCTGAGGTTTTATTTTAGAGAATTATAGCCCCATTTAGCAGAAGTTCCACAGAAACAGAAAGGAAGCTGTTATTTTTTTAACTATATAGGTCTGATTATAATAATGTGATAGATTACTTATCATATACTGATGAGTAAGAGTTTCGAGTTATTCTAGGATTAGAAATGGCCAATAAATCATTAAGACACCAATGACTTCACTGGAAGGCCATTAAAAATTCTTCATAATAATCTTATTATCAGTGTAATTTCAAATTATATTGATGAGAAAGCACAACAGACCAGAAATAAAATGTGCACTTGCCAAAATGGTTAGTTTACCACTGATTTTACCATTGATAATCTGCCTTCTTTTGAAATGTCAAAGCGCTGAACTTTTTTAGTTGTCAATGGATCATTATTTAAATTGTATATTTATGTGCGGTGCTGAGAATCCAATCCAGTGCCTCACACATGCTAGGCAAGCACTCTGCCACTGAGCCATGGCTTCTGCATTTTTATAGGAGAAATGTGGTTCACATAGGCTGGGGATGTGGCTCAGCAGTAGAGCACTTGCCTAGCACACATGAGGTCTTGGGTTCGATCCTCAGTGCCACATAAAAATGAACAAATAAAATAAAGGTATTATGTCCAACTATAACTAAAAAATAAATATTAAAAAAATGTAGTTCACATGCACACTGAATCCCACTGCCTCTTCTCCATACTGCAACCTCTCTCTTTTTTGCATCACCAGTTTTCCTTCTTAACTGAATCTTTGTTTGCACATAAAAATGCTGTGGTTTCTTCAAGCTTGGAAAAAATAAAAAATTCTCTTGGTCCCACAGCTCCCTGTGGGTACTGCTTCCTTTGAAGCAATGTGCCTCAAAGGCACAGTGCACTTGCATCTCTCCATTTCCTCCTCTCCCACTCAGTCTGAGGTGATTCCAATCAGGTCTCTTCCAAGTCAATACAACTGCTGTTGCCTTGATAACCATTAATTTCCATGCTGCCAATCGAAAGGTCAACCCTCTGTCAATTATTCTCCTTTTTATACTGCTTTCTCAATTTGTCTTCCAGAACAACTGCACTGTTCTGTAGATGATTCCAAAATGTCTCTCTGTCCAGGCCTTCCCTGGCCATCCTGTCTAAATTAGCAACTCCTCCTGTTACTTTCTACCCCCTTTCCTTGCTGCTTAATGTTTCATCACACTAATCACTAAATTTTAGCAGTGACTGAACATTACATATCTATCCATGTATTCATTTCTTGGTCTCTCCCTGACAAGAATGTAAATAAACCTCATAGGGGAAGGGATTTGGTTTTGTTCTCAGCTATATCCCCAGCATCCACAACAGCATCTGGTATGGGAGATGTTAGGTATTTAATAAATATTTGTCAAATGAATAATTAGTGTCCAAATTTATTTTTGAAAATAATTTAACAGCTCCCCTGCCCACTTATTTTATATAAAAGTGTTGGACAAGGAAGAGCTTCAGCTCTCAGTGGAATTACCCCTGATTGCCTAAGGTGTTTACCACAGGGCTTGCCAACAGGAGGGAGGGCTGAGCTGAGGAGCACAGTGTTGAAAGGTTGGAGAAAAGGCAGCTACTCTAACTTGAATCCAAACCAGGGATTAGCAAGTCTGGTCTAGTTCAAGGCAGTTGAGGCTGGGACTGGGAAAACAATGGGAAAGGTGGGCTTCAGCAGAGAGATGTAGCTTTGTAACTATCAGGCAAAGAATGAAGAGAGTAGGGCTCCAAACACTGAACAGGTTATCCACCTGAAACTACAGGTGTCCTGGAACAGAAGACAATCTGCCACATCTGAAGGAGACCTATCACCCTGATGCCTATTTCCTTGATTTCAGTGCAAGATCAGGGCTACCTGCATGATTCATGTTCAACTTCACAGCAGCTACTAGGAAAGAACTGGAGCAGGTACAATTGGGAATGAAAAGACAAATAAAACATAATCTCTTCCTTCAAAGTATCTGTAGACTTTCAGGAGATAAGACACAGCCAATAGATGTAAGAGCATTACATAACATGTAATATGCTCAGCAGAGCATAGAATCATAGCAAATTATATCAGAAAGGAGGGTATTTATGGATTGTGTTTAAATTTAGTACTAGCCTCTTAAGTACAAGAAAAAGAACAATCTACCAGTCACACATCTCTTCATCTGCACAAAGTAGGATTTAGGCAGAATTCATTTTTATATTTCCTTCCAATTTGGAGTTACTGATTCATAATTCACATATGTGAAATCCTATGTAGATACAGACATAGACACAGATAATAAAATATCCTTCATTGGGACTATGTTAATTTGAGAATTTATGATCAACCATCAAAGTGTGGCTCATTAAGTTACAATCTTGCTTTATCAGTGACATTAGTAGCTTGTTGAGAAACACTAAAACAAATCATAAAAGGATTACCAGCTTTAAAGAAAAAACTGTTTTCAAAACATTTTAAGTTCCTATTTGTAAACAAATAACAAAAGTGGAAGTCAGCCACTTGGTAAACAGAAGTCATGTTTTGATGTACTTCAGGCCCCCTAGAGAGAAGGGTCCCTGACCCTTAGAGGACCAGGAAGCTTGTTGTGACAGAAGAAGCCAAAGGAAATCAGATGCAGAAGCACCATGGCCTGGCAAATTATCCTCTGAGCCCCTCTTGTATATCTTGCTCTGGCAGTAAAACACATTTAATGAAGTTATGCAATGAAGAAGATGCAGTCTTCCTTATTTACAGGTTATTATGTGAAATTCAGTCTTTCAGAAAGATTTATTGAATGCCTCCTTGCAAGATTTGCTATTATGTATCCTTACCAAATGTTGAATTCATCTACTCCTTTTCAGGATATGTTATATGAGTACCTCATTATTACACAGTTAACTCTAATGGGAGTTTAGTTACATTGCTTCAAAAGGCTGCATGTGGACCTCACAGGCAAATGGGATGTTACCAAAAAAGAGAAACTAGGGCAGTTAGAGAATACTAAAATTTATTAAATGATTTTAACACTAAGGCCTGAAAATCTAAAATTCAGAATGAGATTCAGATTTAGAAAAAACAGGTAAATGATAGAAAAACAACCTGGAAAACATATAACCAAAAATTTTCATTACACCTTAGGAAAACTATCACAAAATGAATGCTGAAGAGAATGTGGATGCTGGAGAGCAGCAATAGGAGTCAGAGAACCTATCAGATTCATTAAGTTACTCTAGCTGATTGGCCAAGGCCTTTCATCCCCCTTGAACTCACTGACATGGACTCCTACCTGTCCCTCATAATGCTGTTCTCTTTGCCCCATCTGACTTTTCAGAATCTGCTCATACTTTAGAGATTTGCTCAGCTATCCCCACTGCAGTCCTCTCTGGTTCCTCCTTACTCAACATGAGGCCCACTTTCTGCATGTCCCACAAACATCTTTAAACATAGCCATTTACTGCTGAATGGTTCTCTATTGGGTATTGAGTTCTGGAAGTCATATCTTAAACCTTTTGATGATTTATGAGTTTACATGTGCACAAAAGTCTTACAGATATAAAAATTACATTGTATCAATTACAGAGTGAACAAATTGCATTTGTTAAAATAATAAAGATGTACGAGAATGACACTGTTTTAGATATTTGGGAATCTATGATCCACAATCCCCACTGTTCCTAACTACTACAAGAAAGAAGGAACACATTTAAATATTTTTGCCAAATTGAAGAATGGTATTAAGGAAGTTTTTCAATACTGAGAACTTTCATTCTAACCCATATATTAATGTATGAAGTTAATTAATACAAATAATCAGACCAAAATATTCCCAAATAAACTCAACACATTCATCATCACCATCTCTAAGAACTACTTAGTTTCTGTATCCTCTCTCCTAATTAGTGACATCAGCTAGGAACCTGGGGTCCACCCAATCCTATCTCCTACTCCCATATCTGATTATTCACCAAATTCTGTTGAACCTTTCAGATCCATTCTTGCCCCTCCTTCAGCACAGCTTTTACCTTTCTTCAGGGCTTAACATCCCCACCCATCCAGGCTCTATGGTCATTTCTAATTGGTTGCCTAGTTGGTCTTACCCCTTTCTAATCCACACCACAATCAGGAAGGATCTTTCTGAAAGGCAAATCCGTTCTTGTCATTCCCCTGTTCTAAGTCTTGTAATAACTTCTAATGCCTACAGGATAAAGCCTTAACTTCTTTGCAAGCCAATCGAGGGTCCTCATAATCTAGTCCCTGCCTCTATTTTTTCTCTTATTTGTTTTGGTACTAGAGATTGGACCCAGCAGCACTTAACCACTGAGCCACATTTCCAGCCATTTCTTTCTTTCTTTCTTCCTTCCTTCCTTTCTTTCTTTCTTTTTCTTTCTTTCTTTTTTTTTTTTTTTTTTTGAGACAGGGTCTTGCTAAGTGGCATAGGGTTTCACTAAGCTGCTGAAGCTGGCCTAGAACTTGTGATCTCCCGCCTCAGCCTCCCAAGCCACTGGGATTCCAGGTGGGCACCCCCACACCCAGCTGTACCTTCCTAAATTGCCTTTTCCCACTTGCCTATGTGCAGGATACCTTCTACCCACCCTACCACTGTTAGGTTTTGAAGTGCCAAACTATTTCACCTCACTGTGTAGAAACATTTTTGACCCTGTATCCTTTTAAATTATTTGAATCACCTTCAGACTCCACACAAGGACCAGTCTTTTTCTTGACCACCTCTGCAGGATTGATACCTGGGTAACCACACTGCCTGGTAAAATGCCTCTAAGATGGCACATAGCCATTTGATCTACTAGACTTTCTCAAGTAGGGAGAGCTGGGAAGAAGATAGATTCTGTGTGAGGGTAGAAAATAGAGTTGGGCCTTTCCTATATTACTATCACCCATGTTTTGATATACTAAGATAGCTCTTTTCAGTTACATCTTGTATTTTAGCTGAAAAATAACTACTCAAGTGCTTGCTGAACATTAGTGACTTTGGACTCAGCTAGAGTGAGGTGATGATGGAGAGAGTTTCAAAGAGAAGGAATTTCAGGGAAAATGAACAGCAAGAGCAAAACTCAGAAGCAGTAAAATTGAAATACGCTGAGAAATGCACACAAGGTATTTTTTTTCTTTTCTTTCTGATATGGCTACATTGGAGGGTTTTTACAAAAGGGCTAAAGATGAGGAAAGGAGCCAGTCTGTACTAGCAGTGACTCATTAAGTAAGAGATGAAATAAAACAAAAATAACTCAAAGACTTTTGCCTGGGAAGCTGGAAGAATTGTGGTATCCTGATAGAAAATGATAAGCCTCAATTGCACATTCAGACCTGTTCTTATCATTTGAACTTGAAATGACATCAAGGAGGAAAAATTGGAGGGTCACCTACAAATAACCTACAAATGTAATTACCTACCTGAAGTCTTATGCCACCTGGTGGTAGTTTACTCATATTTCTATTTAATTACTAAAAGTGGTGCAAATTTGTACTTGCGAACTCTAGCATAGTGTCAGGCATGAAACAGCTCTCATAAACATTCTGTGGAATAAATGAATGAGTCAGATGTACAAATGTTTAACAAAGCACAATTCTGTAGAAAAAAGCTCTGATTTGGGGCTAGGGTTGTGGCTCAGCAGTAGAGCACTCGCTTATCATGTGCGAGGCCCTAGGTTTGATCCTCAGCACCACATAAAAATAAGTGAAAAAAAGGTATTGTGTCCAACTACAATGAAAAAAGAAATATTTTTTAAAAAGCTCTGATCTGAAGTTCAAGAGAGTCAGTATTTAATTCCACACTATTGACTGTGGAGTGACCCAAAGGAATACACCAGACCTCTCTGAGTCTTGTCCTGGTATATATAGAATCATTATGTAAGTGATATCTAAGGTTATGTCCTCCTCTAATGTTCTTGACTTTATAATGGGAATTTAGTTTGAAAAAAATGATAGGTAACCATCCCTTATAGTCATGGAATTGTTTGATAAAAACACACAAACCATGGTTTTCCTTGAAAGTTATTACCTGAGTTCAAAGCTTCTGAGAGAGTCAGAGCATAAGAAGAACTGTCAGAAATGACAAGGAAGCTTGTGGCAATTGAATTTGAACTCATAACTGGAGGAATCTTTCTGGTTCTGATCTAGCTTTCTGCTGATTATGTCATCATCTTTCCTAGAAATGACAAGGAAGCTTGTGGCAATTGAATTTGAACTCATAACTGGAGGAATCTTTCTGGTTCTGATCTAGCTTTCTGCTGATTATGTCATCATCTTTCCTCCTTAGCAAGAAGTTTCTCAAAAAGGCTTCCTAGATGCCATTCCTTTTGGCTTGACAAACCCCAGGATCTTCTCTTATGCACAGTTGATGCCTTCCTCAAAAACAAGCTTCACTCATGGACAGTAGTTGAAAGGTAAACAAATACGACATGACTTTTTTTCATTTTTTAAAATATGTTCATATTTTTGTGGGTTTTTCATGGTTGTAATCATACTTGACATGCACTTTAGTCTCTTGTACATTTTTTCTCCCCTCATTGAAGATAAATATTAAGGTTAATAAATGAAACTGAGATTATATATATATATATATATATATATATATATATATATAATCTGAATTTGAAATGACATCTAGGAGTAAAAATTGGAAGGTCACCTAAAAACTACCTACAAATGTCATTACCTACTTGAAGTCTTATATTTGTGTAATTTTTTCAGCTAAAATACAAGATGTAACTGAAAAGAGATGTCTTAGTAAATTGTATTTCTGCTCTTCCTGTCAAAGGCCTGAAGTGCTCTATGAAATGGCTTGCTATTCCCTTAACCCAGAGAACCCCACAAATTCAAGCAAATCAAACTCTTCATGTTCAATTGTTTTTAAAGAATGGTATTCCTAATACAAGTTCTTATACACAACAGACACACAATACTTTTTTCCCCATTTTTTAATATTTATTAGTTTTTTTTTAGTTTTCGCACAACATCCTTGTTTGTATGTGGTGCTAAGGATCGAACCCCAGGCCCGCATGCATGCCAGGCGAGTGCACTACCGTTTGAGCCACATCCCCAGCCCCACTTTTTTTCCCTTTTATTGTGGTACTGAGCATTGAACCCGAGGGTGTTTATCACTGAACTATATCCATAGCCCATTTGCATTTGTTAAGCTCGAATTCGGGACCCTCAAAAGACCACCAGAGACCCAAGATCCATGTAAGCAGCAAAGAGGTGTTTATTGCAAGCTAGCTCGGTCCTCCGTGTGCACACACAGGAACTGGTGATGCTGAGAGGCCCCGAGCCCAGGGTTTGCAGCAGTTTTATACACTCTTTGGAGAAGGCAGGGACTCCCACATACATCATAGCATCTCTTAGCAAATCGTCACACCGCGGGAAAATCAAATAACAACTCTAAAACATGATTAGCACATTCACTGGCGGGAACAAGTTGGGTAGGGGTGATTGGTTACTACAAGAGGGGGATTCATTTGACCTGATTGGTTTCAGCCAAAAGGGGTGTACATGCTGAACTACATGGTTTCCCAACACGTTATCAACCACCATAAACTACTGGGAGGGTCATCTGGCATCCCAGGTATTTCCCTGTCTCATGCTGATTGGTGGCTGCTAGGGGGTTGCTATGGATCCCCACCTAGCCTGACTGAGTCAGGGACACCTGGCACAGCAGATCTCTCCTGTTATTTGTAGATAAACATCTTAGCAGGGTGGGAATGTGCCTAGGAGTGCTCTGTGGGTCTTTCCAAGGACAAAGGTGATGTCCCTTCCTTGAACAGGCTTTGTTCTGAGGTAGAGGCTGGTTTTTCACATTTATTTATTTTAAGACAGGGTCTTGTTCAATTGCTAAATCTGGGCTTAAACCTGCTATTCTCCTGTGTTGGCCTTCTTAATAGCTGGGATTACAGCATGCACCTCTGTGCCTGGATGATACTCAGTTCGTTTTAAATTTTAATCTTTATTATGATCATCATACAAGGTTCAGCAATAGTGCACTTGCCTAGGCTGGGCAAGACACTGCTTTCAGTCTTCAGCAGTAATGATAATGATTATGATGATGATAATAAATTAAATAATCCACAAATTCTAGGACTTGGGTAGGGACTATATAAGAAGAATTATATCCATGTAGTCTCAGAAGGAAGATCTATAGTGTCAGAAATTAATGGAATGCTGGGCTCCATGGGCATGCCTGTAATCCCAGGTACTCAGGAGGCTGAGATAGGAAGACTGCAAATCGAAAGCTAGCCTGGAAAATTTAGCAAGTCACTGTTTCAGAGTAAAAAGTACTGGGGAATAGATTGCTGGCAAAGTTCTTGCTTAGTATGCCTGAGGGCCTGGGATCAAACCTCAGAAGAGAGACAGAGAAAAAAAGAAAGAAATGAGAGAGAGAGAGAGAGAGAGAGAGAGAGAGAGAGAGAGAGAAGAAAAGACAGAAAAAAGGAAGGAAGGAAGGAAGGAAGGAAGGAAGGAAGGAAGGAAGGAAGGAAGGAAGGAAGGAAGGAAGAAATAAAAGGGCTTAAAAAGTATAAAGAAAAAAAAAGTTATGTCAAATATAAATAGTAACCCAACTGGATAAACTCCAAATGAATAATCTGAGCAACAAAAGTAAAGTAACACTGGATTAATATTAAAAATAGAAAATACATATCCACCCAAAGGACTTAAAAACAGCATACTACAGGGACACAGCCACATCAATGTTATAGCAGCACAATTCACAATAGCTAAACTGTAGAGCCAACCTATATGCGCTTCAGTGGATGAATGGATAAAAAAATGTGTCATATATACATAATGGAATTTTACTCAGCATTAAAATAGCATAAAATCATGGTATTTGCAGGTAAATAGATGGTGTTGGAGAACATAATGCTAAGTGAAGTTAGCCAATCCCCCAAAAAACAAATGCCAAATGTTTTCTCTGATATAAGGTGGCTGTCTCATTGTGGGGTATGAAGGGAGAGCATAGGAGGATTAGATGATTTCTAAATAGGGAAGAGGGGTGGGAGGGAAAGGGAGGGGGCAGGAGATTAGCAAGGGTGGTGGAATATGATGGACATCATTATCCAAAGCACATGTATGGAGACTTGAATTGCATATCAACATACTTTATATGTAAACAGATATGAAAAATTTTGGTATATATGTGTAATAAGAATTGTAATGCAAAAAAAACAAAGTACATGTATAAAGGCATGAATTGGCGTGAATATACTCTATATACAAAGATATGAAAAATTGTACTGTATATATATAATAAGAACTGTAATGCATTCTGCTGATGTCATGTATTTTAAAAAATCAATAAAACTAAAAAAATACATATCCAAAAGTCCATACTAATATAAATGATTAAACAATAAATGGAGGAAAGCAGACAACTCTCCTATACAGAAGCATTTCAAATAATTTATGTAGACATCACATTGAGGTAAAACATAACTCTCCACTTAGCAAGTCTGAGCTATGTATACACTTTCAAACAGTGAGGAACAAAAGGAAAATGAAAGAGTAACTTTCCAGTGGAGGAACCTTGGAAACACTACTTCAGGCAGGTGACCAACAACACTGTGTTCTGTGGGCAGGACATAGTCTTGATAAAAGGTTACGAGAATGACACTTTACTTTTGTGATCTTCTCTCCAAAGTCTAAAATTCCAGGCTAATTATGAGGAAAATATTAGAAAAATCCTAAATGAGGGTCAGTCAACTTAATACCTGGCCAGTACTCCTCAAAGCTGCCAAGATCTTTACTAGGACTGAGAAACTGCCCCAGCCAAGAAAGCCTAAGGAGACGTGATGATTGAATTCAACGTGCCTTCCTGGACAGCATCCTGGAAAAGAAAAAGGACTGGACATTAGGTAGGGGAGATGGCCATCAGTTGGAAACAAAGGAAGTCTGATAAAGAAAGGACTTTAGTTAACAATAAGGTATCATTATGGATTCATTAACTGTGACAAAGGAGACAACTAATGTTAGAGGCTAGTAATAGGGGAAACTGGGCCTGGGGTTTATGGAAATTGTACTGTTTTTGCAATTCTCTGTAAAACAAAAGCTAGTCAAAATAAGAAATTTATTTTTTGTAAAAAAATAAGTCAAAGCTATTACACTCAGCAATAACCAGTGCTATGTGGATATTCAAGGAAATGTCAAAATACTACTAAGGAACTATGGGAAAATTAGCAGAACATACAAAGGAAGCAGAAGTTTTTAATCTAGGTAAGAGAAAAATTAAAGATGATTTAAGTATATTTGTAAATATTTTTCATTAAGGATAATATAGGGAAAACCACAAGATAGCAGAAAGGGGAGATAAAAGCTTTCACAACTCCATCTAGAACAACTATTATTAGGAATTTTTTTTTCATATTTTAAAATATGTCCATATTTTTGTGGGTTTTTCATGGTTGTAATCATACTTGACATGTACTTTAATCTCTTGGACATTTTTGCCTCCCTTCATTGAAGATAAGTCTCACATAATCCAAGTCAATTGGCCTCATTGTTCATTATGAAAAAAAAAAAATTGGTTTTAGTAAAAGGGAACCATATGACTTTCCAAGACTATAGGTAATGAAACCAGAATCTGCTGTTTATCTAAGACACAGTGCAGAGTCAGAGGAGATACATATGATATTATATGGGAACTCACTGGTCTATCTCTTGATTTCACTGTGGAGGTGGTATGATATTTAAGAAACTAAACAGAAAGTGGGGGGAAGCCCTCTGGCAGGCAAGAGCCACAGAAATAAGAGGTAGGGTACAGAGAACACTGAAGATGGCAAGTGGGCTTGAGGGATTTGGAAAGGGCATGTGTCTATTTCAGATGTGAAAATCTATACAATGGTGATGAAACTGAAGAGCATGTGGGGAAATCTATTTTGTACATGTGTGGTGTGTGAATTTGATAACAGAAGGGAGAATGTGTTGAGAGTAAATGGCAAGAAGTATTAACACTATTAAAATTCCTGTAGTCTCCTCTGGGGAGGAGCTTACATTCAAGACAATACGTTTTCTTAAGATTTGATAAGATGGCTATTTTCCTAGTCAAAAAGTTTGATATCTGAAATTCTGTTAGAGTGAGACCAGAAACAGTAAACATTCTAGAGCACATACTGCCACCCAGTGGATGAATGTGCATGATGCACAAAGCATTTGCAAAGGAAAAGACAAAGGAAGACAGCAGGGGGTTGCCTGATGTGAGGTTGAAGCCTTGTGTTCAATGAAGGAGGCCTACCATGTGATTTAAAACTGATTATGCCACTCAGAATGCCAGGCCAGGTTTTACTGTGGGAGGCCATCCTCGCTCGTGATTTGAGTTACCTCCCTGGCTGGGTGAGAGGTGCTTAAACACAGCTGTGTTGAAAGCCTTCCCCACCCTTTCCCAGGTCTGAGGGCTTGTCCTTGCAGAGGCGTGCCTGGCCATTGACATGAACACCCAATCATTGTCCTTGACCTTGGGATGCTGTTCCCCTTAACCTTCATTGGATGGGATTTTCCCTTGAATTTTTTGTTCCCCAATAAAAGCTCACTCCCTGGCATGCTCTCCCTCTTTTGCTAGTCTCTTCTGTAAACCTCACCACCGCATTAGGTGGCTGGAGGTGGGAGCTAGGAGAAGCCATCTTGGAGCTGGTGTTAAGGTAATGAGAGTCTGTCTCTTTAATTTAAAACTCACTAGCAATTTCTTATGAACTGAACCTTCTTTCATGAAGCTCCCACTGGTTGCGTGGCAGATTTTACTATATGTTTTCAAAGTATCCTGATAAACATTATCAGAGGCTTTGGCAATGAAAGAGAAATATTTGGGGATGTGTGTTTACCACCACACTAAATACTAAAGTCTCATTGACCATATCTGATTCTATGTGCCCTCACCTTCAAAATTGCTTTCCTCTGAACTTGTTTAAGAGTTACTTTCCCAAATGGACTATGATACTCCCAATGATGGTACAATACATTTAGATCAGACTAGAAAAAGTACTTTTATTTTAGAAATATACTTCTTAATTTTTTATTTATTTTTATTTTTATCAAACTATGCTTTGATGAGATTTCTTGGCAGTTCTGTTAGTTCTCAAAGCAAAATCCTGGTTTTTACCATAAACTGCCACTAAGTCATATATTTCTCTATTCCTATGGCAGAGAATGGAAACTCCATGTAGTGTTTTATCAAAAGAATTATTATGCAAAAGGGATTCCATTCATCACAGTAAAAAAGTGTTAGAGTGAGCTCCTTCTTTCTTCATCATTCAGTAGATCTAGCAGGAAAGTATATCTACTGTTGTCTTTACTTTGTGAATTATGAAACTCTTCTATATAAATTATTGGTTCTTTGTGTTAATATATATGGCATATGACTCTCTTTATTTCAATAGGTATCCAACAGTCAGATGCTTTTACCTATTCCACCATACACATAGAAAAATATACACAATGTGCACCTGTTGCTTTAAAAAAGGAACTGATATATATGGATGTGTGTGTGTATATATATATATATATATATATATATATATATATATATATATATATATTTTTTTTTTAAGAGAGAGATGTTACCCTGTTACTACTAGGAGTATAAGTTTAATTTTAAAAACAATATAACAACTACAACACAGAAAAATTGAGAAAATAGTGCAATGGACCCCCAGATACCATCACTCAGATTCCACAATTATCAAGATTTTGTCACATTTGTATCATCTGTCCCTGTTTTCTTTCTTGTTATTAATAACATTGAAGCATGTAGTAGCAACACTTAGATAACATCATCTCTAAATAGGTCAATATGTAGCAACATGGGTGCTTTTTACATAACTGCCATGCCACTAGCATCTAACAAGATTGACAATAATTTCTTGATATCATTTAATAGCTAACTTTACTCAAATTTTCTGAATAAATCAGTCTTTAGAGTTGTTCCAATCACAATGCAAACTAGATTCACTCATTGTATGTGATTGACAAGCTTCCTAAATCTTTGAATCTAATAGTCCCTTTGTCATTTGTTTTTTAATTTCTTGACTTTGACCATCTGCAAAAAGTCAATCTTTAACTCACACTCTAAATATGTGGTATCCTTTAACTTAATCCTCCTCCTCCATATTTGTTATAAACTGCAAAATTATTTCAAAGTGTCTTATGTACTTCTTATTCCAGCAGATTGAGAAGCAGCAATGTCTGCTTGCCTTACATGTATGAAATCCTGTCAAGAAATTATTGACTCTTTTCTTGAGCTAGCCTTCCTCACTCATTACCTCCTTCACTTTTTCTTTCTGTCCTCCCTCTCCCTTCCTCCTTCCCTTCCTTCCTTCTTTTTGTCAAGCATATATGTTGAATTTTGTTAAGACTTTTAGATACCTATAAAGACAGTTACATGATTTTTCTTCTTAAAAAGTATGGTATGATGAGTAGATGAATTATCCTAATGATTTTTCTAATATTGAACTTGTGGCATTTCCATAATGAATGCCATGTGCTTATGATATATTCTTAATATTTTGCATTCTATTTGACATTACAGATCCTATTTAACAGTATTTTTAAAAGATTTTGCATTGATATTCATAAATCAGACAGGTCTTAATTTTTTAGTACTATTTATCAGGCCTTCATTTTGACACATAATTTATAAAAACAATTTGGAAGTTTTCTCTTTTCTTCACTCTATAACAATTTATATACCACAGGGTTTATTAAATCATCCAAACGCTAACAGAATTTCTTGGTAAAGTCAATTAGAATGATTATCTAGAATGATTATCATGGGAGGAGGACGGCCAGTAGCAGAATTTTGAAAACTTTTTGGAGTTTTCAGGTAATTTTGCACAGAATTATTCCAAGTAGACTTTTACTATTTTCTGTTTCAAACATTATTTCACTGTATCATTTTGTATTTTGTGAATTTGTATTTTCACCAATTAGGATGATTCACACTTTATGTCTCTTCATTCTTAATCACCTTTTTTAATGTTTTATTTTGCTAAGTTGACAATTTCTGCGTTTTTTCTCGATTTCTTCTGCTTTATTTTAGTTTTCATTTTTGTATTTTTGTATTCTTTTGAATTTAATATTGAATTCAGTATTTTCACCTTATAAAGGTTTTAATGTAATAAATGTTTCTAAAAACACTGCTTCAAATGTATCCCATGAGTTTTGATGTTTTTTTTTTTTTTTTTCATTTTTATTATTTTCCTGAAACTTTGTAGTTTCCTTTTACTGTTACTTTCAGCAACACTTACAATACTGCTGTTCATCTTCATCTTGTTTAAGTCCTGCTCTTTTTGGTGATTTGGTCACATTCACCCATAGTCTGAGATTTGGAGGGATTTCAAGTCACCAACTTTTCTTGAAGATGCTATCCATGTTTTTTGTTTTGTTTTTTTTCTCTCTGCTATCTTGTTAATCTGTTTGAATTTCACAGAAGGAGTTCTGAAGTGATGATTCAAGACTGCTACTATGATCACTGATCTGGAAGATCTCCCAGGAAGAAAACCAGTGAGAATTATAGATACTTTTATGAGACCAAGGGTACTGTCACAAAATGTACTAACAACTATAGAATCTGGGTGCCTTTACAGGGAGGTTGTTTGTTAGAAACAGCTTTTGAAAGGATAGTTTTACAACCCAGAATCATTTCTTTTTATGCATCTAGAGGAGAATAATGGAATTTTCCCTTCATCCTGTGATTTTTTTTTTATTTCCTTTGCTGGCAGGTTTAAGAATCTACAGTTTCAAGATCAAGCACAAGAATCACATTAGCAATGAGAAGCTAAAAACTTACAACATGGAAAGTGAACATTACAACAAAAATTTTAACAACTGAAACCTGGAGAATAAAATGCTCCAATTATATTCCTAAGACCATAGCTTTGGAAGGAAGTGAAAGTCAGGAAGAAAATGATGACCATTTATGGGGCTGGGATTGTGGCTCAGTGGTAGAGCCTCCTCTAACACATGCGAGGCCATGGATTCCATCCACAGCACCACATAAAAATAAATTAATAAAATAAAGGTATTGGTTAAAAAAAAAAGAAAAGAAAATGATGACCACTTAGACCTTCAAATGAGTAAGATCTGCAACTAACCACTGAGTATTATCAAGGCCAGATTTTCTTCGTAGTCTTTAAATAGAGGTACTATGTAGAAGGTTATGCATTTAAATGTACATAAATAAAATAATATGACTAAAAGGGGGAGAAGGAGAAAGGATAAAGCTGGTACAGATTCACTTCATATAAATCTTTTTACAAAACTTCATCTAGGTTGGAAAAGAAAAGATGTGATTTTCTATAAAGTTAACAAAATGTAATGGGAAAATGTTTTCCAACTGTCCAGCTCTTTTTGAGGGGCCAAAACTGAGAGCGACAGCTCCACACTCTATAAACAAATGAACAAGCATAAAAAGAATTTGCTAAGAGGTGGGTCCCCAAATATCATCTGAGATCTCTAAAGCATCCTCTACCTACAGAGATTAAGGCTTGGGATGGGGGAATTTGGTAGGGCTTTTCTTAGTATTGTCAAGGTCTTGTGCATTTTGCTTCTGTCCTCAAAAGAATCCCCACTTTCCACCCTCAGCAGAGACAGGTGACAAAAGGGAACTAAATAAATTGAAGAACTTTTGCTAAACTTGACCCATGCTTCCCATGTTTGGGGTGTGACCTATGTTTACTCTTCCCTGTTTTAAGTCTAAAGGAAGAGGTTGGCTAATGGTTAGAACTCTCTGCAGTAACAAAGAAAAGAAAGAGGGCTATATATGAAGAATAGTCTGCACATCCAGAATTTCTTGGGGGCCAAAAAGCCAGCTTTCCTGTAGGCTTAGGAACCATAGCTAGGCTAGAATCTTTGAAGACTTTGCCCAAGACTCTAGAAAGAGGCTGTGTAAAGTGCTCTATCAAAGTAAGAGCTGAGAGGTACATAGAATGGTTAGCTGAACACCTTGTCTGAACATGTGTGTGAAGAACGTAATTGGGGAGGCCTCCCACTAACCCAGCCTAACTCTTATCTTTCCCTATTATCAAAACTCTGGCATCATTGAGTAGAAGACATTGGCATCATATGGAAAACAAACATATTATGCCTTATTCCAGTCCCACCTGGTAAGGAAAGAAGCTTTAAATTGAGATTAGATTAGACTTGGTAATATTCCAAACTTTACCACAAATTGGAAATAATTTAATGATAGGTAAAGAAACATGACCAAATGCCTTAAAAAAAATCTCCTTTGGAAGCATTCTTTGTTTGGATTTCTTTTAACATGTTGTTATTATTTAAATAAATTCAACTAAATATTAAATATATAAAAGCACCTCATTAACAGTAGTCCTCAAAATTGATTACACACTAAATTTATCTATTAACTTTTAAAAACCACTGATGCTTGTCCTACCCCAGATTCTGATTTAATTAGACATCACAGTTTCTAATGCTTACTAGATGATTCTATCAGGCAGCCAAAGTAAGGAATGACTCTAAAAATAATCTACCAAAAAGTATACATATATATCCCTACATTACTCTCAAATATCAAGAGAAACTAATGAAAAGGTGGAATTTTTCATGGAAAAGATCTACATATTTGTTTTCTCTCTGGACACTCTCCTAGAGATCTGCTTAAATAGTTTGTATTCATTTCATTAAAGGCATATTAATGAGTAAGTGCTAAGGACAGGGTGTAATATAATATAAACACTCAAAATATATTATAGAGGAGTGGAAAGAAATATAATTTTATAAAAATTAATATTGGTTATTAACATACAGGAATCTATAGAAAGCATGTATCTTAAAGTGGTCTGTAAAAGTTTATATTGGTATAAAGATATAAAAATGTCTAAGGATATATAAAAAAAATAAAAATGTCTAAGGATAAATAAAGAAACATGGCTGAATATCCTAAAACAGACCTTCATTAAGAGTATTCTCTCCTGAGAGTGACCTTAATTTTTCCCTATCATTTGAATAATTTCACCTAATCACTGAGAATATGATAGTACCTGGTGAAAATTAATAAAGCATACATACGCCAAAATAAAGTTTACTTGTTTATTTTACCATTCCAGACTGTGGAAAGCTGTTCTTGCACGTGATTGGGCACCTCCCTAACTGGGTGTGAGGTGTTCCAGCTAAACTGTGTCAGAACTAATCCCCACCCTTTCTAGGTGCAAGAGCCCATCGTGTGAGGGGTGTGACTGACCATTTACGCTGAGACCAATCACTGACCCTGACCTTGGAATGCTGTCCCCCTCGACCTTCATTGGATGGAATTTTCCCCTGAATTTCTTGTTCCCCAATAAAAGGCCATTCTCTGGCGTGCTCTCTCTCTCTCTCTCCTGCTAGTCTCTTGTGTAAATCTCACTGCCCCACTGGGTGGCTTGAGGCAGGAGCCAGAGCGGGAGTCGTCTCAGACCTGGTCAAAGAAAAGGGTAAATTGTGTTTATGTGTGTTTATTTTGATCTCACTATTTAACTTCTGCTGAGAGCCATAGCCTAGTCGGAATGACACATAGCATTTTTACCAGAACCAGAGTGGTTGAGAGGTGATGGCAGCAAGCCATTGAGATGATAATGGTTATGTTAAGCTGTGTATTCAATTGTATATTAGACCCCTGCTGTCCGCCTCAGGCACTGGCTACTTTGGAGTTCTCGCTCTACTTTGTAGTTCTTGCGGGAATTCCTGGGGAGTTCTTGTTGGTTGGGGAAGTGCCAGAGGAGGGATTTCCGGTTGGTGTGTGGTGTGTCCCAGGAGAAGTCCGTGTGCGTGGCGTTCGCGGGAGTTCAGAAATAAAGTTTGTTCCTGCTTGAGTGGCTCATGATTTGTGCCCAGCCAGACTGCGGCATTTGGTGGCCCATGCGGGAACGCCTGAAGCTCTGAGGTAAGTGAAATTGCTCGCCCCTGAGGAAAGGTGAGAGAATGGGTGACCATTTCAAAAAACAATGTGTTCTTGTTTTGATTTGTTTTGTTTTTGTTTCAAGCTGCCTATCCCTAGAACTTTCTCAGGCAAACTGGGAAAAATGGTTGGCTCAAGGTTTGAAGTTCTTCGGCCCTGAGGAAGAGATAGAGATAGACCACGAATATACATTTCAAAAAAATAGGAAAATTGATACAACGATTTTTTGTTCTGTTTTTGTTTCATTTTGCTTCAGTTTTGTTTTGAGTTATCTGTTTGAGTTGCGTTATCTTTGTAGCAGAAATATGGGGTCAGAAATTAGCAAAAAACAAACCGAAAGAATGTTAAGTAAATTGTTAGAGGAAGGAGGCACCCTAGTAAAACCAAAAACAGTCAGGGCATATGTTGATACAATACAAAAATGTAGCCCATGGCTTTTTAAGGAGGAGTTGTTGAATATATCACAATGGGACCATCATGGTGAAGATTTAAGGGACAGGGAAAAGAAAAACCCAGGAACTCTGCCAGTTGGCACACTGCCATTGTGGATGATGATACGATTTTGTTTGCCTAGTCCAAAGCTTTCAGTTCAGATTATGGTAGAAGACATATTAGATCAGGAAAAAGAGGAGGCCTCTCGAGATAATCAGGGGAAGAAAGTTTAGAACAGAAAAAGCCATCAGGGGAAAAGTTACAACAGGAGGCTGCTACTAACACCTTTCTATCACCAGAGGGTGTAAGTGTCCAAACAACAGCTCCATCTATGGGGCCCCAACCCCCGTAGTTGATAGATGGGATCCTGAGACAGGACCTCAAAGATTAGCATGCTCTGTATTTGAGGCAGCAGGAGGGCAGCGAAATCACCATGTTTTAGATTTCAAAACAGTGAAGCAGCTAAAAGAGGCTGTAACAACCTATGGTCCTCAAGCACCCTTCACTATAAGCTTAGTCAAATCCATTACCAATTTGAACATGACGCCAACAGATTGGACTAGTATGTGTAAAGCTGTGCTAAATGGAGGACAATACTTGTTATGGAAGGTTGCCAATGAGGAATTTTGCACGGAGACAGCTAGGTGAAATGCAGCAGCTGGTTGTCCTCAGAGAAATCTAGATATGTTTTTAGGAAAAGGATCTTATGAGGGTCACCTGCAACAAATTGTATATGATCCCTCTATATACTCACAAATTACTGCAGATGCAGTTAGGGCATGGAAGACTTTACAAGGACATGGAGATTTACAAGGTCAATTATCTAAGGTAATACAAAGAGCTAATGAACCTTACACTGAATTTGTAGATAGGCTTATTCAAAGAGCTACCAGAGTTTTTGGGGATACAGAGCAAGCAATGCCATTAATTAAACAGCTAGCCTTTGAACAAGCAAATCGTTGGTGCAAGGAGGCCATTAGACCATGGAAACATGAAGATTTAAACACATATATTAAATTATGTAGAGACATTAATGAACAAGGACTAGTCTTGGCAGCTGCAGTACAACAGGCTTTATATGCCAGGCCAAAAACATGTTACAAAATTGTGAACAAACAGGACATTATAAAAGGAGTTGCCCCATAGGAGGAGGGTTTAACAAAACTAGGTATCAAAGAAGTAGAATACCGGGTATTTGCCCACGATGCCCTAGAGGGAGACATTGGGCTAATGAATGCCGTTCTCAAACCACCATAGAGGGTAGTCCATTATCAAAAAATGGACAAGGACCAGGTGTTTACCCATGTTATCGTGGAGAAAAGCATTGGGCTCTATTGCCAAAAAATGGACAGGGGGGCCCAATGCTCCGGGGCCCAAAACCACAAATATACGGGGCAATGGAGGAACCCAGTAATACCATCAGGGTAGTGCCCAGGACACATTATCCATTAGATCCCTCATCAGACAAACCAGAGGGAGTGCAGGGTTAGACATCTGCGCCTCTGCCAGAGCAGTACTAACTCCAGAGATGGGAGTTCAAATCATTCCCACAGGAGTAAAAGGACCTCTTCCTCAAGGAACAGTAGGCTTATTATTGGGATGCAGTTCTTCTACACTAAAAGGACTTATGATAAGTCCTGGGGTAATTGATCCTGATTATGAAGGTGAAATAAAAATTATAGCTAGTTCTCCAAGATGTATATCAGT